GCCAGCCCCCCCCCTTTCCCTGGCCGGCCCTACCCCCTGTTCAAACTCCCAGATAAACTCCCGGTCCAAAGGCAATTTTCATACTATGTTTTTATTATATAGGATGTTGCACAATGTTCTATATATACATATATATGTAATATCCATATAGGTATTATATATGTTTATATAATTACCTATAGCAGCCCATCAATGTAATGTCAAAGGAAATTCCAACATAACTGCAGTAGAAAAAAAGGTTAATTTTCAAAACATATTTTTTTGTTACTCGTAAAGCAAGACTTTCGTTTGGTCAAATCATATCCACATAAAACAGACATTTTATTCACATTCATGAAATCAGCTACCCCCACATTTGTACTTAAAGTAAAGGTCATTTCTCAAGTCAGATATTTGAAACTTCTCTCCTAGAAATGATGTTATGAATGATCAGGTCTCAGGTCAGCTCACAACGGTGATTTGACGTGATATGCCTCAGAGACGGTCCTAAGACCATCCTGTGTCCTCAATGCCTGGCTCTCTCTGGAGTTCTGAGCCACTTCACTGTCAACTCAGTTTGATCGCGCAGTATTTGTTAAGCATTTTCTATATGCCATGTGTTAGACAATTAACTTGTGACTTTTCTGGGTCCAGAACCAATTGCTTATCTCAGTTTTTAAGACTGAACCACCTTATGCCCCCAAGTCCTGCTGTGACTATCCTATGGCTGTCTTCCAGGAAATATTAAGACCCACACTAAAACTGAGATTTAAGATGATGACAGTTCAATGGTCCTCCAAGTTACTGAAAGAGTTTATGTCTCAGGAAATTGATGCTAGGGTATTGATATTCTGGCATTTTCCAATAGCAATGATGCTGGAGTGCAGCAATTCATTTGGAAATTGTGTGTTCTTAAGTTAAAGATTGATTATACCATTACTAAATGAAAGCGTTAAAAATATGAATGATTTAAGTTGTTAACAAATAATAATAACTGAATTACAACTGTGGTAGATTACCATTCATACTTAGACTAGTATGCTTTGAAAAAAATAATAGCCCTAGCTGGTCTGGCTCAGTGGATAGATCATGGGTCTGCAGACTCAAGGGTACAGGGTTCGATTTCAGTCAAGGGTACATGCCCTGGTTTCAGGATTGATCCCCAGTAGGGGGCGTGCAGGAGGCAGCCTATCAATGATTCTCTCTCATCATTGATGTTTCTCTTCCTCTCCCTTCCTCTCTGAAATCAAGAAAAATAAAAAAATAGAAGACAAGGGAGAAAAAGTTACAATGGACATGTAGATTTGAAGGAATGGATGAAACTATCATTTACTCAGAAATTATTATATGCTAGACACTGTGTCAGACAATTTCTCATTCTAGCTGGAACTTTACTAGGTATCTCCCATTTTGTAGAGGAGGCAACTAATATAAGTGATATTGTGACTTGCCTAAGACTAAACACCTGGTTAAAAAAACAAAGTGGGACTTGAATTTGAATCCATTTTCTTCTAACTCCATAGATCACAGGTGAAAATAAAAACCCGTTAGTCTAAGAACCCAGTAACTTGTTAAAATAAGTAACTGGTGTTGGGAAGTTTGCCAGCCTCCAAGTTCAGGTCTTGGGTTCCAGTTCCCAGTCTTTGGTCAATTTCTGCCTTAAAGAAGGATTTTATAGGAAAGTTTTCCCAACAGAGGCAAACCCTGTACAAGTCAACAGCAAGTTGGATGTGAAAGGAGAATAGGAAGCGCCTGCGTTTCAGTACAGTTTTGAATTGGAAGATGTAACTAGGCAATGCCTGCTGAGGAAGTGGTAGAAGAACTTGGCAGGCAGGATGAGTAAGGAGAGAGGGTGAAGATCTTCCATCATCAGTTTTTATTATTTAGTCATCAGAGTACACCTTGCATGCAACAAAGTCCTACTCTTATGAAGTGATTCAGGTACAACATCAGATTTAATACATTTTGTTTCCTTTATTTTATTTTGCTTACCAGTTGAAGTGATGGCAACATGGAGAACAGTTACTGAAATAGCATAATCCCAAACCCATTCTTCCACAACCAGAATGAAAAGCAATCCACAAACGAAGTAGGTGACCTCCATTGAGACTAAAAGCACTGCAAATAAAAGGAAGAATATAATTATTTGGTATTAGAGTAATTAATAATAATTCTGAAATGCAATTGGTAACAGGACCATTACAAGTTATTCTGCAAAAACAGTCTTGGTAGAAATTTTCTTACTATTCCTTCTCTTAACAATCCTCAAATTTGGAAAATTTTAATATTTTTCATCTCTTAATAAACCTTAGACTTATAGAAAAATAACAATATATAATTTATGTTTCACATTCTTCATACTTAGCATTTCAAAAGGTAAAATGCAATAAAGAAAAGTTACTATGTAATGAATGCATGCTGATCTGTAATTGGATTGCAAGTCTCATTTTTAAGATGTATTAAAAACTAATGAAAAATTCAATTCTGAGTTTTCAGGAAAAAAAATGGTAAAATTTAGTGGACTATAACATTTCTTTGGTACCAGCCATTACCTAACTTGAAAATAAGTTCTTTTGAGTCTTTGTAATAAAATGGTACGTTCAGATAGTCACCTGGGAAACATAGCCGATAACCATGGATGAAAGAAAGCCTCATAAATGGCTCCTGTGGATAGAGGCGCTCTCCTAAATCCACCAGTTGTCTCAGAGTGGTTTTCCCAAACATGTATAAAGAGCCAGGACCACATACAGGTCAGGACCACAAATCTCTAAGAGTCTTGAAATGTGAAAGGTTAAGTTTTCGCCTTTGTCTTTGATATGGAACTTGAAGACTATAGTGATTTTAAAGAAGAGATCCTTCAAACTTTAAAGTGACTAATAGATGTGATATAACACCAAGGTCCCTTAGTGATGATATCACTTTCCATAAGTATTACCTCTCTTTCCTTTTAAAACAGCAAATGATTGGCATATTGATATAATTCAGGAATTGATAAATCTAGACGAGTAAACTCCATAGTTTTTAAAAGCAAAAAGTAAAATCACCACATTATGCTCAGTTACGCAGAAGTAATTTATTAACAGGCAAGCCAGCGATTGCCTACTGGCTGAGCAAGACACTCACTCACCAAGTGCAAGTCCCAGGTGCCCTTGTTTGTAAAGGCCTCATACGTGCTCCTCTTTAATTCTATTTAATTTAACTGAACAGGTTTCAAAAGCTGAATGGACAAGACATACTAGTGCCTTTTCTATCCTATGGAAATGCAGTTCTTTTCAGCATGTTCTGCCTCCCTAAAACTGAGCCTGTGGGAAGCAAGTGTACTCACTGACACCACCTCTTCCCATCACACTTCCACTCTTACCTCCACCAGTGGCTCACAGAGCTCCCACATTACTATAGAGCAGTGGTTCTCAACCTTCCTAATGCTGCGACCCTTTAATGCAGTTCCTCATGTTGTGGTGACCCCCAATGATAAAATTATTTTCGTTGCTACTTCATAACTGTCATTTTGCTACTGTTATGAATCATAATGTAAATATCTGATATGCAGGATATATTTTCATTGTTACAAATTGAACATAATTAAAGCATAGTGATTAATCACAAAAACAATATGTAATTATATGTGTTTTCCGATGGTCTTCGGCGACCCCTGTGAAAGGGTCATTCAACCCCCAAAGGGGTCGCGACCCACAGGTTGAGAACCGCTGCTATGGAGACATAGGGAAGAGATTAACCAAAAAATTTATATGCACATATATATGCGTAACCCAAGGACACAGACAATAGTCATGTGAAGGCCTGGGGTGGGGGGGAGGGTGGAGGGGGTTAGTGGCAGAAAGAGCGGGACATCTGTAATACTTTCAACAATAGAGTTTTGTTTGTTTGTTTTTCAGTTTGAAGTTCTTGTATTTACTTTCTCTACTTCCAGAAGTACCTGGCCTTAGTCAGAGGCACAGGCTCTTCCCCCAGCTGAGGGCCACACCCAAGGTCTCTTGCTTCCTTGGCACAGACTGGAGAAGCTCCTGGTATGAGAAAAACAGGATGCTTTGGGGTTTTCTTGTCTGCGAGCCTGCTTTTGAGGTATTAGTTTGATTTTTTTTTTTAAAAAGGATCCTTTTTCCTAGAGTTTAACTCACAGGATTGTCACCAGCTGCTGTCTCTCCAGTTCAGCTCGCCGGCATCTCCCCAGCCTTCAGACCCCGCCCCAGTCATTTCTGCTGCAGCAGATTTTGAGGAAAACTGCATCCCTGGTGAGACCTTATCCTTGTTGGGGATCACTATTTCTGTCCTCCGTTCAGGTACAACAAGAACAGCACCCGAAGGCTTCATTTCAGGTTCATGTCAGCACACCAGGCCAACTCAGGTCCTGCGCTAGCTTCCTTTTCACTTGAATGGGGAACTCCTCTCCTAAACCAAGTTCTGATGGACACTGAGGGCGCCTTTCTCGTGATGATACTTTTGGGGCTGGGGCTGGGCCTGGGCTGGGATAGGACTGGTCTTTGGGGTTGGCTTGATGCCAAAGGCTTGGCCTCCTCTGTGAGCAGAAGAGAAGTGGGAAGGGCCTCGTGCTCCTCCGAGGTAACAGTGATTCCACCTCCTGGGCTCCCTGCATCGCTGAGGCTGCTGTACTTAAGGTCATCCCGTGTCTCCACTACCTTCAAGTCGGTGAGCGGGGACCTGGCAGTCCCCGGGGCTCTGGAGGCCTCACCTGGATGCTGACCGTTCTACTTTCAGGCTCCCCAGGATCACTCCAGTCGGGCTACTCCTCAGATGTGTGGGGACTTGGCAGGAGGTTTTCACCGTCTCCTGAGATATTTTTCACATCTGAAAGTCCATTCATGGGAAATGTCTGAGGCTGAGAGAACCGATCACTATTCCCACCTGCCTGGGAGGGAGTGGTGTAGGAATCTTGCTGTTCCTGCTTCTTGCTGCTGATGGGCCTGTCGCCAGAAAAATCACCTTTAGGGAATACCCCAGAGCGGTGCTCCAAGGCGGGTGAGGTCTGCCTGTGCTGGCTGCCGATGAGGTGCGTGCGGGAATCCCAAGAAAGGTTTCTTGAAGAACCTACACACCCACAGCGTTTCACCTTCTGGGGAAAGGTCAATCGTTTTTGTAAAACTTGGGGCAGTGCGTTTGAAGACTGGTTCTCTGCCCTCCCACGACCACCACTGGTCCAAGCAGGGAGACCAGCAGGCCAGGCTGCGAAGCAGTGATTGCCACGATGGAGCTGCTGGCGTCATGCAGGCCCAGGAACACCTGTGGCGGGAGGACTATCCTCAGCTGCTGGGCAGAGCAGTGCTCCCAGTAGGCCTCCAGGTGAGACTGCCCTACTGTGCGCACGTGCTCCTCCTGCACCTCTAGCAGCTGCAGCGGCCCGGGGCCACCCCGAGCGGAACAGGGCCGGTGCCAGCAGGCGAGGGGCCTCTCGGGGCCCACCATCTTTGGGGTGCCAAGCAGCTGAGGAAGGAAGCTCGTCACGGCCACGGGCTCCGCAAACACTAGCTGATTCGGCCGCAGCAGCACCAACTCCAACGGGGAAGCTATCAGATCCTCCGGCAGGCAGCTGACTCTGTCCCGCAGAAACTTGAAGAATTCCGTTTTTCCCTCTTCACTCTTCCATGTTCAACTTTCCAAGAAACCCACACTCCTAGGAGGTCGTTCCCGAAGGAGCCATGGGACCGTGCGGTGCAGACGCGGCCGACCCTGCGGGGTGGGACTCGGCGAGCGGGGCGCCAGGCCTGCGGAGCTGCGGGGCGGCCGCCTTCCCACCCGCGCCCCAAGGCATGGCGTCCCGTGCACGTGCAAGTGCAAGTGCAAGTGCAGGCCCCTCCGGCGGAGTCGTGAATTCGGGAGCCGTCCCTTCAGTAGGGTTACAGGCCGGGTCTCCACGGACTG